GAGGCTGTCCCGTGCCTTGTAGGATGTTTACCAGCATTCCAGTCCTCTACCCACTGGATGCCACTAGCACCCTCCTAACCAGTTGTGAAAATCAAAAACCTTTCTAGATGCTGTCAAATGTCTCCCTGGGAGCAAAATCGCCCCTGATTGAGAACTACTGGTTTAATCAATAAGTATTAATTTCTCCCAAGATAAACACTCTCTTTGCTCAGATCTAACAAACTAGAGATTTATCCATGCAGACTGGACACAAAAATTCTGACATACTAATTAACTCATATATACAAAATATGTGATATCCCACCAAAAGAATGTTGTCAAGCTGAATGTTTGCTTTTAATGTTTTGCCAATATTATTCATCCGCTTCTAATGAAGAGTCTGTATTAAATAGCACACTCAAATTTAAACAGCACATAACTGACAATAGCTAATGGTCAATGATGTTAATCTCTTTCCTAATTAGCTGGTAAAAATACGACTTTCTGTTCCAACATCAAGCATTCCTCTTCATCACACTGCCTAGAATTATGCAAATGAGACCACTTCACCCTCCATTTTCAAATTTCCTCCAATGAGTGGATCTAAGGTGGTCTGTATTCCTTGTAAAGGAATAGACCAGCAGATCAGAGCCCCCCAGAATTTACTAAAAATTATTGAATTTTACACTCATAACAGGTGAATTTTTGGTATGTAAATCATACTTCAATAAATTTATTTAAGAAAAACCTGTTTCTGTAAGAAACCAATGCCTCTAATGTCTATGATCTATTTCTTTCTGCTGCTGAGCAGATTAGCTATTCCAAACATCATGTTAGATGCCTGGATCTCAGAGAAGACATCTGCTGATGCAGAGGTAACTACTGGGCCAACACAGTTGCCATTAGGATGGGACACTAACCGTTTTTCTATTCTTTAAAATATCATATGGGTCTGTATCATGTTACTACAGTGGCACCTGGAGTTTTAGCTGCTGAGTGCCTCTCCTAGAGTTTGAGTCAAGTACTGTGTTCCCACTGTCTGGACAGTAAAATTTGCAAGCTTATGTGCCTACATACAGCAGGGGAAAATGAATCCCATCTTCCTCACGTCATTTATTCAGTTAATATTTTTGACAAATTTATCACATCTCAGCCGTTGTACTCAGCACTGTGAATAAAAAGATAATTGGGACAGTCCCTGCCTTTGGAGAGTTTATAATTTATTTAAGAAATCAAACTGGAACATTTTTAGGAGAGATTTTAGATTTTGATAGGTTAAAATTTATATTTTAAAGCAAATGCAAATAATTCAGAAATTATTATCTATTATTTTAAAAATCCAGAAATTTGAACTTCTTAACAAAAACTGAGATTACGTATTTTGTATTCGTCAGAGGGAGAGTCTAGAAGGAGAATAGGGAGGTGAGAGAACACTCCAAGGAGGGGAGGAAGTTCCCTGCATAGTTACACCTTCCAACTTGGCTTATTTACTCCCCACTCTGCATTTCTTTTCTTCTCCGGGTCACTTCATCCTACCATGGTAGAAGTAGTGACTATGACTCTCCATTGAGAGTAGAGAGCAGAATTAATGCCATGATCTAGGTAATTTACGGAACTCAAGTCAATAATAACTAAGTGAGGGCAAAACAGGTTTCCGCAAGTTCAATTCAATTAATAGAATTCTTATTGAGGATCAATCCACTATGCTTCAAGTACTCCATTGGGTTATACTGTAAGGGACAGAAGATAAAAAGAACAAAGTCTTTGACTTCTAGTACCTTCCAGATAATGGTTCAGCTTTTCAATTTACTTGCCCTGTGTAGACACAACTTTAGAAATAACTGCTATTTTACAGGTCTCTTGAGGGGAGAGGGGGCGAGAGGGAGAGTCCATTTCAAGGCCTTGTTATTATTCATTTCTACCTAGAGTTCCTGGTAAAAGCAGGAGGTCAGAAAATATTTATTGAATAAATGAGTGAATGAACAAATACGCTGCCAACTTGAAGATAAAAACGAGTCACCCCAAATCCCAGCTTTTGTATACTTCTTCATATTCGGGTATTTTGTTTGTTTTCACATTTTATCCCCAAATCAACCCAGAGTAAGGTGAGGGAGGTAATAATCCTAATCCTATTTTAGCAAGAACTTCAGAGACCCAAGACCACACATTTAGCAAGTTATAGAGTGAGTAACAAATCTATGTGGACCTTATAGTCAAAGATTTGCATTTCCAATAACAACAGAAAAGTGGATTAGAGGCCTGATAGATACAGAAGGCTCCAGGGCTCTAGAAAGAATTGATAGGCCACAGGGAAAGTCCTACAACTTCTTCCTTTGCAGTGGGAAAGCAATTAAGAAAATTCAGCATGCTAGTGGCAGCTGGAGAGTTGGCAGGTTCCTCAAGAGAAGGACTGTAAGCAATGTCATAGGCCAAGAAGATGGATAGGGCCCATTTATGCACTGAGGCTGACGTATAAATGGAATTCTGCCCAGTTTGACTGCCCTTTCTTCAAAGCTGTCATTGACAGATGAGTATCTAAATGTTTTTGTTTAAAAAAGAAAACATGAAAAAAGAAAGAAAGAAGAGAATAAAACAAAAAACAAAACAAAACAAGAAACTCTTTCTATTCCAAACAGACACATGTAGCCAATGAACATGAGTATACCGGATCAGGCCTGGGAGCAGTACAGGCCTTTCAAAGTAGTCCTTGATAATTATTTGCAAAGTTGTACACCTTTCCTTTCAGATAAATTTCAATTTAACACAAGGATTTCATTAAAACTCCAAGTTACTGCCAGTTGGCTGTATCCATGTGTTGTTGGAGGTGTACTGGTGGGGGACAAGCCTGCTCACAAAGTCATCTTCACCTGCCAAAACAGGGCTTCCTCCCCAATTAAAATGGCCATTTTTATTTTAGAGTGGTAAACAATGTCTACTTAATATAAGGAAAATACACAGAGGAAAGTTACCGAACCTAATCACACAGTGACTTGATGGGTGAGTCAGTCAATGAAACCTGGGGGAAGGGCCGAAGAGGCTGCTCTGCTTTTGGAGACAGAAAGGTCCTCTTGAGATCACTGCCTCCATGGTGCTGCATCCATTGTAGCCTTCAAGACCAAAACTGAGTAATTCTGTTTTATCTTATGTCTACCAAACACACTTTAAAAAAGAAGATTAATAATCATCAGTTTTAAAAGGTAAGAACTAAATCTAGTTCCTCAGATGACCTTGCTTCTTCATCTTGCTCTGTAATTATCTTCTGAAAATGAGGACCAGTTGACATATACTGAGTACCAGTAAACAGGAGGATGTTTCTTCCACCCCCCAAGGTGGGCTAAACTTGTCCATGGTCTCTGGCTGGCTATAAAACTCAACAGTAGGCCAGCAAACCATTTGGGAAATTCACGTTCTTCTCCAGACTGGATATGCGGTGCCCAGGTTGAGTCCACGTTTCACCCATCCTCAGCCAAACAGACATTTACGAAATATAAGGTATTTGGAAACATTTGAGCATAGTTTGTAAACTTGGACAGAAGTGGCTTGGATGGACACAGTGATGTTAGGGCCAACAGAGAGAATTCTTTATGATGCCTGAATGAGAAACCCAAGGAAAAGGTTTTAAAGAGAGATTTCAAACAGGCTGACAGACAGCTTTGGTCAGACCATGTCTTTGACAGCTGCTGCATGTGGCCCCAGCTCCAGGGAGATAACACGCCTCCAGAATTAGCTGGCTAGGTCAGCCTGGAGTAAGCAAGTCTGACCTCCTTTAAGCAAAAATAAATCTTGCTGAGTTAAATGATCCTGTCTCCTACTTTCCTCAAGGAACATGAGACATGAAGCGACAAAATTTGAAGACAGCAGCTGTGAATCCTCAGAGTCCTTATCTCCTGGCTGATTAGTTACAGGTCTGCCTACTTCAAGATGAGCTACAGGTCAGATACATCAGACTGTCTTCCTTGCCATACCCAATAACCCAGGAATAACCAGGCAACTGCCCCCAATCTTTTAATCCCTGCTAACACAATTATCACGCATAGGCTAAGTCAGAAATAAAGTAGGGGTGGGGCGGCAGAGGGGGGAGCAGGATTTCCTAGTCAAAGAACAACCACTTCAAACATGTCTGCTCTATATGCATTCCTTCAAATACCTGCAGTGTGTGAAGAGACAGAAGTTGATGTTCGAAGTCACCCTCCAGTACAACCTATGGAGGGAGGCTGCCCCAAAACACAATGACTCCCTTTGGTACACCTAGCCAGTACCGGGATGGTGTTGGAGGGTCTCACTCATCCATCACCCAATGCATTCAATAATTATTTATCAGAAATAGACAATGTGCCAGATACAAAAGTCTCCACTTTTCTCAGCAGCTGTCCTCAAAGGATGGCTTATGGCAATTTCTGGCCCTTTAGGTCAAATACCACCAAGGAAAGCCCCCAGCCAGCCACAGACATCTATTGACACTCCTGAGAGTGAAAGAGATGGGAGAAACAGGAGACAAGGTTTCTTTGACAATTCAAGACTCTCAATTGTAAAATGTTTTGGCTTTCTCCTGGTCCCAAACCCGGCACCTGCAGACACATCTAATTCTAATTCCTCAGGGGGATTAGGGTGATGAAAATCTCAGGCTCTCTAGAGAAGGGCACATTTTAGCTTGTATTTGCCTAAAACAAACCCACAATTTCCTCATATGCTGCTGTTATCCTAATGACACAGAAGTGGGAGATCTGGAGCTTACTTTAAATGAGCATGCTACCTACTGTCAAGAAATTGTCCTCTGCACATACCAACAATTTCTTACAGGCTCAGGGTTTAAGAATAAAAGTCCTGGGAACAATTTCTGTTTTTACATCAAACACAACCAGCTGTCAGAGCCTTGGATTGGAGGAGATGACACTAAGCTGAGGAGGAAGTAATTTTTTTTCCTTTCAGTATCAGCTTTCTGGTACATACAAGTAGTTGACTGGCCAGATGAATGGATGCCATGCTTACTTTATATTCATCAATTGAAATCCATTGTTTACCTGCCACCACAGGAGATTTCCGCTCATCCAGGAGCTGTATGGAGGTACTCGCTGTCACCACATTGCTTTTGTTGACTGTTCCTGTAAGAAGAAGAATCACAGTGACAAAAATGGAGATAGCTCTAGTGCTCATGTTAAGAGTGTAATTGTATTGGCTCGCAATCACCAGTTCTGCAGACTGTGCTGGGGCTCATTTCCCAAAGCCCAGAGTTAGTCTACTCTGTTAGGCCAGAGGCGCTGAGGAGCCACCAGTCCTCTCAGTTGAAGGAATCAATGTACCAAGTTATGACCACCCACACTGGGGAATGTCCAGCTTCTTCACGCCAAAATCATTAACCACCATGGCGGGACCACACTTTTTCTAATTTGTGGTTACTAATTACAGTGTTTACTTGTGCCAGTAATCACATTTATATTGCCTTTCTAAATATAGCCATGGAGAGCGGCATGAGATAAAATTTTGAAATTATTTGACAATAAGTCGAGAACTTCAGCTCTGATTTGTTGGTTAAAACTTTACCGATTTATGAAAGTCTAATTTCAAGCCCAGTTTTTCTTAGCAAAACCATTCTAAACAGGGATAGAACTGAAATGTAATCCTTACTCCAAACTCTTATTAATGTGGTAACAATATGGCATTAGTATTAAGAGATTTTCCAGTGCTAACAATGGTTCCAATACCCTTGAATTAAAAGACGCTGAGCACAAATTTTTAATGCTTATAGTTAATAATTGTTAGTCTAGTGCCTGCCTTATAAAAGGTGTTCAGTGAATGTGAGTTGAATGGAATCCAATGGAATTGAGAAGCAAGGAGAAGACAGACCTGAATTTGAATACATTTATGACCAAAGCAGTTAAGAATTTTCTCCTGGCCCAAGTCTAAGCAGTAATAAAAACCAGCTTCTTTCCCAGTGTGTACAGGTATTCAAAACACAATAGAAAAACATGAGAGCTCCACCACAACACTTGTACTTGGTGATTTTTAACATTTTCCTTGAATCTAAAGGGGCCATGAAATCTCCTAAGATGTTACATCATCTATAAATTTTCCATGAACAAGGTAAATTCCTTTCCATTATATTATTTCCCTGAAAGTTCAATGAAAGCCCCACTTGCCAAAAGCCAATTAGACAACAGCCTTAATTAATCAGAATTTGTTTTTTCCAGACATAATTCTTGGGAAATTTAATAATTTGTAGGAAAAACAGTGAACAAAGCAAAGTGACAGGAGGGGCCATGGCACATACGAAGCACTCATGGGGCTGCTGGCACCTCCCACAGCTCTTTCTCCTTGTCCAAAACTGTCCCAAAGGATAACTAGATGATTCCAGTCCAGATCTAGCAAGCTAAGTTCTATATTTTTCCTTAGAGGAGTATGAAAATAAAGTACCGTGAGACTGCATGATAAAAGAAGACGTTATTCTTGATAGGCGTGCAGCAGAATGAGAGGGTCCGCTGCCTTAGGCGATGTTTCCAGTAATAAAGAGTGATACAGATAAACATAAAGAAAGACACTTAGTCTCCTAGAAACCTATATTGGAGAAAACACACGTGTGTATGGACAGTACACATGGGCCTGTCAGCAAAGGAGCACAGACTCTAAGAATCTCAGACCTGAAAGGAACCTAATTGATAGTCTTGTCTAAAATCCCACCTAGTGAGAGAATTTCTACAATAACATTTGGCCTTTCCTTGAAAATCTTCATTAATGATGGGCCCACTTCCTAACGAGTCCATTCAACTAACTACTAGATAATTCTTGTCAACATGTCTTCTGCAAATTTCAAAAGAAGATGTTTTCATTCAGATATTGGGCAAGCGCCAAGACTCAGGGAGGGGGCTTTGACACTGAGCACTGGAGAGCCTCCATCAGGGTTGACCTAGGAATCCTTGTAAAAGATTAATACGAAAGGCCCTGATATAAAACATAAGTACAGACTGAACTGTCCAGAGCAATCCAAGTTTATAGGACTAGGTCTTATTCATCTCTGAAGTTTCTGCAATGAACCGTACAGAGCCTTACACAGAATGAGCACCAAAAATATGGGATGTGTGAGACAAGAAAAAGCAAAGGACAACTGAAAAGTATTTCCAGTTTGTCTTGCTTCTAAAACTGGTTGAAATAAGACGTGTTCAGTTCTTTTGTGGAGATAGGTGACCTTAAGTTTTTCTATAATATCATAAAATCTTAGGACTGGAAAAATCATTGGCTACGTGTTTCTTCTTGGCCACTGCAGCCCTCTGTCAGGATAGCGCAAGGCTATACAAAGTCTTAGTCCTTACTCCTGCATGTTGATTTAGATCAATTCAGTTCTGATGGGGAATTGCGGGCCTCCGAGGTGATGTGACTTGCTGAAAGTTCTGGCAAAGGATGTTGCACCTGCCTGAACTTTCTCTAAATAGGGACATGACAACATTAAAAGAAAGTCTACTCAGAAGTTTGTATTCAAATTCCACAGACTACAGAATACCAGACCAGCTTCCTGAAATGCTCTTTGCGCTCTTTGGTTAAGCAAAAAGCTTCATTTTATTTTGGGCCATTACACTTACGGAACAGGTCACTGGTTCAGCACTAGGCCAACACTCACCATCAGTTCTCCAGGCTGACCTTGGCTCCCCTCAGCATTCAGGCTACTCCCCCATACTCTGGACACAATACCAGGCCAGCAGGATCAGACGCACAGAGCCCGGGCTCCAAAAGGACACCTACCTGTGCTGAACGGAATCGAATAGACGAAGCTTCCTGGAATCTGCTCAGCGGCTCTTCGGTACCAGAGAGGGAAATGGTCTGCATTAAAAATGTTCTCCTTGTCTCCAGCTTTCAGAAAGTCCCTTGGGATGGAAAGGAATAAGAAGAGCATAGCACCACTCAGCAGGGAAAAGCCAGACACAGGTGCATCCCAATAGCCTTTGTTGGGTAAAAACAGCAGTGGCTTTTAGAACCCCAACCTGCCTTTCTCAATGCAGAGGGGATCTGCGTAAGATTGTGCACCCCAGATTACTCACAAAAACCTGTAGAGCCCTGGCAGTCAGACTCCCAGTGGGTGAAACGATTTTCCTAGTATATCAAGTGCACTAATTATCTTAGTGTCTAAAGCAAGCAAATAAGCAAAGCCTCCAGAAAGATTGGAAAACCAAAGAGTAGTCAGAAAGCTTTGTTTTTCCTCAAAATCCACACACATGAACACATAGCCTTGGGAAGATCAACTTCTAAAGTAAATCTTACACTTCTTAGAAAAAGCGTAAAGGAGGAAAGCAGGCACGTGAGGATCTTTGCTCCCTTCTTCCCTCACCTCCCAACTCTCCAGCCAAACATGGCTGCTCTGGTCCCCTCTGCAAATCCCTCACCCTTCCCTGCCTCCCTGCCAAGTGCCCATGGTGCCCAGCTCTATCTGGAAGGCTGCGTGCACTCTCCTTCCCATCTCTTCCTGTCCAAATCATACTCACTTCAAGGTGTGCCTCAAAGACTGCCTACCACACGAATCCACAGAGACACATGCAGGGTCTTGCCCCATGCTGGGACCCCACAGCCTCGCTCACTCTCATACAGCCCGCTCTTTCCTTGGCCTTATCGGCAGCCTTCACGTCCCCATCCCAACTCTCTCAGGATCTTTGAGGAAAGGAGCTTTTGTTCACCTTTTTGCATCCTTCCACAGAGCCTTAAACACACTGAAGTCCCAATTCGTGTTTGTTAGCTTGACTTATCTCCAACCTCACGTTTACCCTCCAGCACCTGAGTGCCTCGTCCTGGCTGATATGGCACAACTCAGGGGGAGAAAATGACTGCCTGGCTAGTCCACACACTGCAGAGATCTTTCTAAAGGAGACCAATCAGGGGACAATACGTACATAGGGAAAAGGTCACTGGTTGAACCAGAAACGGCACCACTTTCAATTCAGCAGTTTGCAGCATGGAGTTGGGTAAATTATTACTAGTTGATTATTAGAAACTTCTTGAATTTGGCTCCAGGAAAGTATTCTGTAATTTTAGGGAATGGCTTACCAGTGATTCCTTGATTTCTCCCAAAGATGTAGAGCTCACTCCTTCAAGAGGAAGCCTACATCATTAGAGGCCACCTCAAAGTTCTTAGCACTGAAATATGCCCCCCACCATAACTTACACTAGCATGTCCTAATTCCTTTCGAAGGACAGAGACCTTATCTTTCTTGATATCCCCAGGGCCTGACACTAATCAGGCACTCAGTATATGCCTAATGATCACAGGATAAATAAAATCTCATACGCAGATAAGATGTCCTCAATATTAAAAACCATTTTTTAATATCTTTTCTAAATAACTCTTCTTAATTCTTTCAAAATCCCTCACCAGTATGGCCACCTTCCTACATAAATGCTCCATTCTGTTAACATTCCCATAAAATTTTGTGCTACCAGAACTGGTCTCAAGAGACCAAAAATGCTCCAACATTGCTGCCAACATTTGTTTACTGACTCTGACTGACATAATGACACTCCAGAAATTAAAAACTTCTTTTAAATTGGCAAAAAGCACTCTGCTCTCATTCAGAAGGCCAACTCTGGAGTCATAAGTGGGATTGAGAAGGTGCAGAAATCTCTATGCCATTCAGAATGCTGGACGTAGAGAGTTCTAGACTTGATGTGACAGACAAGCTCCTCTTGGCATCGCTATGTTCAGCGGATGTTTCCTGATTCTAAAATCATCAAGTTTCACAAAAAGCAAAATGTGACCTTTTTCATTTAGATACGAGATTCTTCATGAGCCTGACTTGGACACGTGCATGACGGAGACTCTGCTGCCCAGCCCTGGGTGGGTGAACAGCTGCCTTCCATGCTGGGCCATGGGCACAGCCAAGGCCTTTTCACTCGGGTCAGCTCTGTCCAGGGGGGAGACGCATATAACCACAGCAAGGAGGGTGCCCTTTTCATGCAGCAGTTAATGGTGCTACTGGAGCCCTTTTCCAAGCATGGTAGGTGGGGTAACAGCTGGGTTAGAAGGTGTAGGATGGTCCTTACTTAGACTGATGGTGACATTCAGGCTTTGGGGATGGCAGGTGATAGTGTCTGCTGCCCAGGGCCATGCTGGCCGCGGGGCAGCAAGCAGGAGCCTGCAGCACTTGATCTCCATGAGCTCTGGTGTTAATGTGAGAGGGTCTGGTTGCCAAAAACCCTTGGGGGTCCCTGCCAACTACCAAGTAATGATTCAGAAAGAAACAGGAAGGAGAGATCTGATTCTTCAGAATCCCTGGAAATGTTCTTCAGGAAGAAAGAATTCCCTGGATAAGATGACGCTTAGCCTGCTTCTGCATACTACAAGCTGGTGTGTTGTGTGAGACAGGTCGAGGCTTTAGGCAGAGGTGAATGACCTTGAGGGAATTACTTGGGTCAGTTACTGAGTCTCTGAGCCCAATTTACTTATGTACAAAATCAGAATAATAATATTACACTTAGCAGGATACTACCAGAATTACCTGACACCATATGTGAAAGGGCTGTGTAAACCAAACATGGGTAGAACAAATATATGGTTTTATATGGTATTCTTAAAGCCCAAGAGTTTCTTTTATTCTCTGTGGTTCAAATGGAAGCTGTGAAGTGGCTGTATCTTAGACTTAGGACTGCAGCGAGAGGAGGGACCATCATGTGGAAGCTGACAGCCCTGGATGCTGTGTGTGCTACCTGTGATCCAAGAGGAGGCCACACTGAAGGCACAGAATATATCGTTAATAATGGATGATGTTCCAGAGGCCATGAGCTACAATTGACCTACTTCCAGAAACAGGTGATAGGGGTAGGAGATGGAATCCCAGTGTAGGAGATTGATGAGTACAAATTGCCTCTGGGGTGGGAACTTTATATTATCTAGTACTCTCCCCATCACTTCAAACTTTTGCTTGTGTACCTTCTTTGGGGAAAAAAAGGAAGAAATGATAAAAGTTTTCTAGTCTTGGCTAATAGAGTGTATCCAATTAGTTGGGTCTCAATGAACACCATTTGATTGAAGGGGGTAGGCAGGTAATAGATCCTAAGACAATGGATGTCAAGGTCCTCTAAAGGAATTAATGGTATGAGTTTCTTGAACACAGATGAATTATTTCATCCATTCAGATATCCAATGAGTACTCACTCTGGATCACAGTAATATCACAGGGAACAGAACTCACGGTTGTGGGTATTTTTAGCTTCCCAAAGCAGGTTTATATGTATAATGTTTTGATCCTCACAATAACCCAGAAGATCATTACCCCACTTTTCAGATGCAGAATGTGAAGCAATGAGTAAGACAAGCCAGGTGCACATCCCAGCAGTCTTGAGTGTGATTCTGCTATCTTTCAAATCTGTCATAATAACCCAGATATCAGACTAGCAAGGTGCCACATTTTATGGTTGTTATTGTTTTGTTTGTTTTAATCTCAAAACAAACAGGCTTCCTATCTGAGCATTAGAAAATCTGTTCTTGGGTCTCCCTGTGCCTCTCCGGATCCTAAAGGGAGAAGGCTATATGTATTCGACACTTCTAGTCCTTCCTAGGAACTTGCCCTCTGGAAAAATAATTGATTGGAAGTAAAGAGCTAAAGAGGGCTTGGAAAGAAATCAAGTCACAGCTATGGTCAACTTCATAAATGAGAAATTTGAGATGCTGAGAAAGAGTCCTCGAGCAGAAATTAAAAGCCAGTCCACAAAACATCTAAAAATCTATGTAGCTACCATTTACCAGACTTGGTTTTATGAGATCATATGGTTGGTGTCAGGGCCTCATCTAACAGAGGCAACTGCTGGACTGGGCCTGATGGAAGGGAGCATCTCCTGGGTGGGCCCCTGCTGGGCCAGCTTGTTCCCTGTGGCTTGGTTATTCACTGCCAAGGACCCCAACGGTCAGGGGATATGAGGTTCTCTGGTAACCTCTGCATTCCCACACACATTTTGAAAACTTTCTGAATCTCAGACTCCATTTGTTTCTGTTCTAATCATGTCTCTTGCTTCAGAGAAGACATTGAGAAAACTTATTAATGGGCTCAGAAGAGATTTCCCAGGCTCACACCAGCTCTGGTCAAATACCAATTTGAAGAGTTAAGGCCCTGTGGCTCTCTGAAGATACAGGGACTCAGCAGTGGTTTCAAGGGCATCTGGGTACTAGACTTGGTGACGCTCTGCCCATTGTCCATTTGGGTCTCTTTGAAAGCACAAGGAAACACTGTCAAACCCGAGTGCCACCAGACTGCCCACCCCTGGGTGTGGGGCTCTGCAGGCCCTCAGAATCAGCGCAGAGGCACAGAGGTTTATTAAAACATACACAAACAAATAAACAACAGACTTGAAACATTGATTCTTGGACAGGCAGGAATTCCTGAGCAGAGCTGCAGAACAGCTGAATGCCCTGAAGCCATTTGTCAGGAGATGAGCCGTCCTCCCTCTGGCTGCTCCCCCAGCGGCTCTACCATCAACAGAGTTCTGAAATGACTCACCAGGGCAGGAGAGGACCCCAGGAGGGTGGACAGAAGCCAAGAAGCATGAAGAACAAAGGGTTGTGGAAGGGCCAACGGGCAGGTGAACACACATACTGGGGCTCCGGGGGAAGAACAGAGAGGAAAAATGTCAACGGGCCTGGGGTGGCCTGAATTTTATTTCTGCTGGTGGTGGAGTCCAGCAATGATATAAGCTCCCCTTTGAATTTCCCATTCCAGGAGCTCACTGGGCCCCTGCAGAGGAGCCCTCCGACTTACTGATTGGTGAGCTGCTCAGCCCCAACAAACAGGTTGATTCTCGAGAGGCCCGTGCGAGTGCCGAGGAAGGCAACCTCTACGCCCTTGTCAGAATTCCTGAAACAGAGCAGCAGACATCAGGAAGACTCTTCCAATCGGTAAGCAGATAATGGCCTCTGCATTTGAAGACTCATAGAATTTTACGAAATAGCAGTTTTGAAACCTGAAATTTTAAAAGAAATTATAGAAATGCACACATACACACACATGCACCAAGCACAGAATGCAAACTCTTATCCCTTACAAAAGTTTTCATGGTAATTCTTGTACAAAAAACTAAGAACTCTATGGCAACAAAGGCAGTGTGAGAAAATGTAGCCCCAATGCTAAACAAACACACCCTAATCTCAAGGTTCTCGGTGCAAGTTGAGGGAGAGCAGTCTGAGAATGCGAATGACTTCAAGGAGAAGAAGAAAATCCTTAGAGCCAGCTTTTCGCATTGATGCTACCAAGTCTATGCTTGGTCCTGAGACCATTAATGGAATCTGGGTTTAGCGAAAACAAGCCACTGAGCTACTGAATTGTCTGCAGCATCCCGCAGCCTGGAAATGTCTAGGACTCAAATTCTTCACCATTTTGGGTGCACCAACTTATAACTTCTACCAGAGAACAGACCTTATCCTCACCACCAACCCCAAAAAGATGAATAAAGAAATGACTTCTTTGAGTAGCCCTGTAGGATGCCATGCATAGGAACCCTAACAGTGGTCTTAGCAAAGAAAACTCACTTGAAAATTCACTAAAGATTTTTTTTAAACTTTCAAGGCAGATTTTATATGTTGAGCACGTTCTTCAGGATATTCACAGTGCATACTTCTTCAAAAAAGGCAAATGGTCTTTCTCCCCAAATACATAATTTTATTCTACAATAACAGTATGAAGAGAATACTGATTCTTGAGTTTTTTGCTTCCCTGCCCTAGATGCCAGTAGCAATTTGATTTGCAGCATTATCCATGTCATCTTCAATATAAGATCATTTGGTTACTTGATATTCGAGTGCAGTCAAAGTGGTCAATACTACCTTTAAGTATTTAAGGGGTGAAGAAAAACCAACACGATGCATTTGTTTCTGTTTGTAGCCTACACCAAATTGGAAGGCCAGCCTGCCCAATCAGTTACAGATGTGGACCACAAAGCAAGCTACCATTTTGGAAATCTTTAGCATGTGTTAGGAGTGACTCAGCAATCTTTGCAGAGGATTTTAAGTTTCATGAGAGCCTAAAAGAAACATTTCCATATCCACTAAAGAATGCAATCAGAGGAAAGGCTCTGACTCTTTCCCAACCTCCCAGGGAATAAGATTCATGTAGGTAAGCCACCCAAGGACACCCCCAAATATACAGAGAATGCTAGTCTCTCTTTGGGGCTCCAGACTTAAGTATTAAACTGCCTACCTGACATCTCTACTTGGGAGATTTATAAGCTTCATTTTAAGCTTCAAATGTTTAGAAAAGAACTCTGGCCATGTCCAGTCCCAAACCTGCTCTTCACTCATAGTCTCCTGTCCTAGGAAATGGCACCACTATCTACCCGGGTATTCATGTCGGAAACCTGAGAATGATCCTTGGCAGTTCAGCCTCCCTCCCCTCCCACAGCGACCCCATCATCTGGGAGTCTTCCTTCTGAAGCATGCCACCAGTGCGTCTCTTCTCTCTGTGCCCACTGCCACTGCCTTGGTCCAAGTGACAACTTCCTTGGAATGCTGTAGGAGCCTTTACAAGTATTCTTACCTTATTACACTCTATTCTCCACATAACATGAGAGGTATCCTCTTTAAAAATGCAAATCTGATCATGCCCTACTTAAAGTCTTAACACGTCCTTCTTAACATCCTTCAGTGATTTTCTAACACTCTGAATATAAAATCCAAGATCCTTAACCTGACTCCCAAAGTCCTGAACCACCTGGCTTCTCTGAAGCCTCATCCCCAGATATCTTCCAGCCTACCCTCTATAATTCAGCTCTGTTGGCCTTCATTAAATTCCTCAAATGTGTCAAATACTTTCTTACCTCAGGGCCTTTGCACATGCCCTGGAATGTTCCCCAACTCTTCAACTAGCTCCTGCTCAGAAAAGCATTCCTCATCTTCCATCTCCACTCTAGGTCTTGTTACAGTCTACAGGTCTTTATTTTTTCTTCAAAGTAGTTATCATTATTCTTAATAATATAGCACACTACATACCACAGGCACCATGACGGCAAAGACTATTTGATTGAGTTACCTCCATTTCACTCATTCATTCTCCAGTACCTAGCCCCATGCCTGCCACATAACAGATATGTGATGAATCAATATTTGATGAATGAAAATGAGAACAGAATGAATGAGAGACAGGATAGAAGAGAATATACAAAAGGGAAAATAAAAGAAGGAAAGGAGCTAATAAAGATCAGACAAGGAGAGAGAACTGAATAATGTATGACGTGAAGGTGTAAGGAAAAAGGAATGATTTTTCTTCTTATTTTTAATCTTTAATGGCCTACTTAAAATAGTGTAATAATAATAATAAAATAATATTATTAAGCTGCTAAAGCCGTTCTCGCCCTCGTCTTTGACGACAATTACAATTGCCTGCCCCCTCCGCCACATCCTGTACTTCAGAAATAAAACCACAGGGTTATATTCTGACGCCGTAGTGAAACAGAGCTCTCTCCTGCCCTGTCCCACTCACAACCTAGCCTGGCCCAGATCCCAAGTTCTCTCCAGGGTGTCAAGGAGAGGGAGCCGCAGCAGGGCAGGAAGCAACAGGCTCCTTCCGTTCCCACTCTCAGAAGTGTCATCCTACCTCAGCATACCAGGTTTCATGTAAGGTTAAAACTCAAACAAATTATATGTCAAACCCAGGAGCTTGCCATCCCAGCCGGAGCCGCTAATCGGCTCTAGCTCTTGTGGTTTGGAGCTTTGGGGAAAATTAAAGAACTTTAACACCAGGCTCCTAAAACAGTTTAGTTCTTTAAACCATAACCATATTTCGGACGGCTTGTGGGGAAATGGCCATGAAAGGGGGACACGTGCAACCACTTACTCAGATTTGTTGAGGGCAAGGCTGGTCCAGTATGCTTCGATGGGGGCACTCACTACGGCATCGAAAAGGACTTCCTGTATCAATTCTTTATCACCTGTTGGGAGGGACAGACTTGAGAAGACGGGATTGGCTGGGCCCCAAAAGGGGGCACGAGAGGCATTCGTGGGCTCACTTTGCAGTATCTGCAGGCTACTTTCTCACATGGCGTGTTGTTTTATGCGTTAACCTCCCACCAGCTGAAAATATGAAACAGTTCTGACACCTGATATGGCAGCAATACAGGGGACCCTAAGCATTTGGATGAGGCGATGGTAAATTGAGAGTCTGGGATGTCTAGCACTTCAGGTTTTGCTTTCTCGCTCCAGCTAGTAGTTTATGCTATGGACCAGCATGCCAACTCAAGGACTGGGAGACCAGAAGCCAGCACTCCCCAGAAAATTTGTTCCTTTCTTCCCCATTTCTGTCCTCTATCAAAATCTGCAATTCTTCAGGACCCTGATCTCAGTCGGTTGTAAGAAGGAAAAGGGATATGATAATGTAATACCTCCTGGGACTCTGATTTTGTGATTCCATCTGTTTAAGAGTTTTTTTCACTTTAAAGGGAGATATCTGTCCCTATTCAAAGGGACTCTTGACAGAGCTACATGGAAGAGGCTAAGGACTCTGGGGGATATCATGAGTCTAGCAGAGGCATCCTCAAGCTCTCCAATCACTCCACTGAGTGGGGCAACTAGTTATCGCCAACAATGGGCCAGTCCTCACCTTGGCTGGTGGCCCAGAAGACAGTGGAGCTTTGCTGTAAAAGCAAAAACTGGATACAACTCATCATCAATAAGATAGTGGATATAGTCACGTCATGGAATACCACATAGTAATTCAAACAGATGCATTAGAGCTAAATGATCAACACAAATAAATCTCAAAGACATAATGAAAAACAAGCTATAGAATAACATATATAATATTATACTATACATAATATATATTCTACCATATATATAAATTTGAATATACAAAATAATGGTACATACTGCTTATAGATACCTATATATAGTGATAGTATAAAATGCATGGCAGTGATAAACAAACACAGGATGGTAATTCTTTCTGGGAGGGAAATGGGACTGTGCAGGGGTACCCAGGGGCTTCACCATTATCTGTAATGTTTCATTCCTTAAAATGTACCTGAAGCGAATATGGCAAAATATTAAGATATGATAAAGCTGGATGGTAAACATAAATGCTTTTTTATATTATCTCGATACTTTTGCTTTTTAACTATGTTATTCAAAAAGTCAAAGAAAATAAAAAATTGGGCTCATGTGATGTCCATCTGATCCTTTCTCTACCAGAGCATATCCTGAAAAGTTAGGCCCTGCCATGAAGATGAGGTTTAGGAGCTGGATAACCTCCTTACACACCTCTCATAAGGCTGCTGTGGTCATTCTATAAGATGACACATATAACGTACTTTTCACATCACTGAATAAGCGACATCTTATTCAGTAGAGGTAGGGGCAGCTGCCATGCTCATTTTTGGGGAATCTCCCTCTTTCCAAACTTTAGCTACTGGAACTAACTGATGTTAGTCCAGGGACTGCTCTTGCACTTGGTGAGCATCAGGCCTGGTGCAGCTCTCTCCCTGCCCCCTTTGCACCAGTCACTGGTCATTTGTGACTCCTTGAGCTCCCTCAGAGGGCACTCCTTGTAGGAGGAGAGGCAGCAGAACATATACCACAAGAGGCACATGTTGCAGGTGATCCCACTCTGGAGAGACCAGGAGACCGACACTATGGCCTTGGGTGAGACGAGTCCTATTCCCAGCCCATGTTTCTCATTTGTAAAATAAGGGGGCAGATATTTACAGTCCCTTCCCAGTTGTAACATTTTCATCCTACTCAAGTGCTTGACTAAATGATTCTGTAGGGGACAAATCCAATGCAAAAGGTCACACTGGGATTGGGGCTTCTACATGACTTTCGGTAACCCATTCTTTCTCCTGCTCCTACAGGAAGCAGACATTTAGCTGGATTTAATGTGACCACTAATCTCTGCCTGAGCAAAGCTTCCCTTGAAAACTGAGAAGTATGGTTCTGAGTTCACACCCCACCACTGCCACGTGCACACTCAATGCATGTTTGAAAGCACACTTACACTGCAGCAGAGGTTCTTTGCCTTTGAGGTAGAGCTTAATAGCTTCTAACTGAGACAGATGACGGTGCTCTGGGTGTAGGTCAGTGTTGCAGTAGGACCTAAGAACATGACATGGCCCAAAATAAGAACAGGTAAGTATCTACAGCATCACTTTCCTTTGCCATTGAACCAGGAGAACTGGGCAAGGAAATACAGACAACTTGAAATTAGAGAATGCAACAAATACCACTGCTGATGGAGGATTGCTTAACTCTTACCATTCGTCTGCCAAGGACACATCAGGATGCTCTAAGTCATGTAGGCCTGGAGATCAAAGAGAAGGGGGTAATGAGTAAGTATCACCTGTGTGGGGCACTGATTCCCCTCATCCTCTCATGTGCTTCAAATGTTCTAGGGCAGGGCCATGGGATGGGTTAAGGGTAGACATCAACCCCAAAGATATCCGCCTGGGAAAAGGGAGTCTGAACCAAGCAAACAAGCTCTCTTTCCAGGTAGAACCCTCTCCTCATTTCTGCCTCACTCGGCCACTACTGCCAACTTCCCCGGCTGTGTCCCAGAAAAGCCTTAACTTCTTGAAGATAAATGATACGCCAGTGAGTCCTGGGAGAGAAGTATAGCATGACAGTAGAAACACCGACATTGCAGCCCCATAGAGCCTGAGCTTGGAACTGGGCTAGGCCACTTAACTCCTGTGTGATGTCAGCATGTTACTTTACTTCTCTATGTCAGTCTGTGCAAAACAGAAATAATAATAGTCCCTAACTGATGGGTGGCTATGAGGGTGAAATTATAGGTTGAATGATAGGAAATTGCCAATAGTCACCTGTTTTTGATCAGCAAAAATTGCTAGCTGTTATAGAGTCCTAAGTAAAAATGAGTCATCAATCTGGAAAGGTAGCTAGGAGAACTGGGGCTTGCAGGGAATTTGGGAGCTTTTATAGAATACTCTAGACCAGCCTAACTCTGTGAAATCACTGTCTTTCCTTGTGTCTTCATGTGACTTCATTTTGATAGTTCATCAGCAGGCATACACTGCCCAGTGAAGACCTCAGGGAACTCTGATGATGCTTCCAGCCTGTTTTAGGATGCCAGAGTGTTCCCAAATGACCAACAGATCTTACTGCACTCAGGATTCAGTTTCCTCCTCAAATACATGTGTATAAAATAAATAGCAAAATATTAGACCTATCATCACACACTCCTGCTTGATTTTATGGGAAGCAGGGAACAAATTAGATAGAATATCATCATATATGACCCAAGTGGCCATATCCTGGTTCCAACGCCTACTTGTTCAATGATCCTGGGAATGTCACTTCAACTATTTGAGTTATATCAGTTGGAAGATGCAGGAAATAATACCTAACTCACAGACTCCATGAGAAGGTTAACTGGGACAGCGATTAGTCCCTAGGACAATTCATGCATCCTTGCGTCCATCCATCCTTTCTTCCCTTTCTCTTTCCCTCCCTCCCAACCTTTCTCTCTCTGTCCCTCCCAATCTTCCTTCCTTCTTCCCTTACTTCCTCCTCTTGCATTCTCTCTCCCTCCCTTCCTTCCATATGTTTCTGTGCATCAACTATGTGCCAGGTACTATTTTAGGCCCTGAGAATATAGCAGTGAACAAAACAAAAATCACTGCCTTCATGGTATTTACTTTCTAGTGGCAGAAAAGAGATACATAAATAAAATTAAAATACGTAGCATTTCAGTTAGGGGTGAGGGCTATGAAGGAAAGAGAGAATGGAACAAAGATAGGGAGCTCCAAAAGAGGGAAAGGGATGAGAGAACGTTTCAACTTTCACTACGGTAGCTAGGGAAGCTTTCACTGAGAAAGAGACTTTTGAGCAAAGACCTGAAGGAGGTGAGGTAGAGAGGCATGCAGATAACTGGGAGAGAGTGCTCATGCCAGAAGGAAGAACAAGTGGAAAGGCCCTGAGGTGGGATCTTTTCTTCCTGGAATATCAGGTTATTGATGTCAGTTTTATCTATTTTTCTAGTTTCATCCACAAAGCCCTCTCTGGCTATATTTCATAGGACCTATAGATGAGACCCTGAAGGAAAGATTTTTTTTTTTTTTTTGAGGAAGATTAGTACTGAGCTAACATCTGCTGCCAATCCTCCTCTTTTTGCTGAGGAAGATTGGCCCTGAGCTAACATCCATGCCCATCTTCCTCTACTTTATACGTGGTACGCCTACTACAGCATGGCTTGCCAAGTGGTGCCATGTCTGCACCCAGGATCCGAACCGGCGAACCCCGGGCCGCCAAAGCGGAACGTGCACACGTAACTGCTGCGCCACCGGGTCGGCCCCGAAAGATCTCTGATTGCTTCCACTCTGAGTTCCTAGGGCACCAAGGAAATTTAATTGTTCTCTAATTCTCTCACCTCTGATTTTGGTCCTCTTGATAAAATCACATCTATCGATGATTGATAATGCTGACAATAATGACATAAGCTCTAATTTATTGAACAATTACTATGTACAATATATATAAAAGATACAAATCAAGTGACGAGGAGATTCAGAAGACAAATGATTTCAGCAGGCAGAACTACAGCCCATGTCTTCAACCTCAGTAGCAACTCCTTACATTTTGAGCAAAGTCTACCTGTTCACCATCTTTGTAATAACCAGCATTGGCAAAGCATGTTGAAAATGCCTACATTCTGTGGGGCAGCATTCCTTATAGAAGATCCTACACAATTGTGGTTGCCTTCCCCCAGAAATTCCTTCTTTCTCAAGAACAGAGCAGAACAATAATCAAGATGAGCCTCTCTTCCAGTTAGCCCAAGGCCTAGCAGCTTTCTCAGGCACTGTTACTCAGCAAAGTTGGTAGGATTGTAAGCCCTCTTATTTACAGAGAACTAACAGAGAGGGGAAGACCTGGCCTCATTTGTATGGATAACCAGGCACTCTCCCCCTTGCTGAGGATTCAAATATTTTTTGCATAGTGGTTACAGTGAGCTCTGAAATTCTCTCTCCGTGACCTCTCAGCCTAACAGCTGTGGAACATACAGGGAGATGATAGTGAGTAAAGAAATGATCCAAAAGACAATGCAAAACAACTCTGTGTGTGTGTGTGTGTGTGTGTGTGTGTGCATGTGTGTGACAGAGAGAGAGAGAGAGTGAGAAAGAGAGAGAGAAAAGAGGGAGGGGCAGGCCCATGTATTGAGGATTGACTAAGGGAATGGACACATGGAAGGCAAATAATCCATTAATAATCTCTCTTTCAATCGTTCTGACCATGAGTTATTCACTCAGCTTGACCTCAGATGGCTTAGACATGAATTTTCTGGCTTCATGGGCAGTGATATCCACAGATCCACACATAGCTCATACAGCCTGAAAATTCTAGAAGTAAAAACAGTGATCTCTGAGAACACATCTTGTTGGGTATCTTGCCCAAGTCACAATGTTGCCTTTCTCTTGAGTGTCTCTGGTAAGAGAGATCACGTGGTTGATCAGCTCTGCAGGGGGCACACTCTGGGTTCTGCCTAGGTCATGATGACCCCCTTCACTCTCCTTCCTATTCCTTATGATCTCGCAATCACTTGGGAGGCAAAACCAACATCTGTGAAACAACGTATGGAGAGTCAGCAGTGCACCAGAAGGCCATCTTGGAACTTCCCATCTCAGGGACAACCAATCTCTTTGTTCATTCTCCACTACATCATTGGAGTGAGCCACAAGGTGGTCCAGCTTCTGGAAGTTCATCACATTCATTTGTAACCAGCTCTAACCAATTAAAACTGGACTTGTAACTGACCTTCCTGCTCTTAGCCACACTCCCTGGGGACATCCAGAAAGAGCACTGGTCTGGTCCGACTCCTCCTCTGTGAAGATGCTAAGTCTAACACCCAGATTGGGCAAGTGACTTACTCAAGGCCATTTGGGCAGTGGAGCCTTCAGAGGCCAGCCCTACTCTTCCTTGTGAGTTGGAAGCCAGCCCCAGCCCTCCCTCTGAGCTGGTGATGCTGGGAAAGGTAATTTCTCTGAGTACTGGGTCGTTGGGAGATGAAAAGGACAGTATGAGTGTGACAGCAGTTTTAAAGTTTAAAGAGCTGTAACAACTGCTACCATTTATTGGGAGTTTAACAGTGCACAGATGCTTTATGAAGACAAGAGGATCTGGGAATCTCAAGGTGCTACTTACTCCTTCTGACCTATGTAAATCATTTAAATGATCACATTTCCCTTTGGACCCAGGCTGCCATGAAACACGAGTGAAATTTGTGGCTCAACTGTGTAGGAGACTAAGGCTTGCATATCTTTGTTTTCTTTTTTTTTTCTGGGCTTGAGTTTTTACACTAATTTGTATTTTTTCTGGTACTGATTTTTATGGATGAGAAGAATATAGTTGGCGGATGATTCCTATGAGTTGCCTCAACAACTCTGTGGATTAAAGCAGAATATAAATAAATGAAATCATAAGGAAGGCCACCACTAGCTGAGGTTCCCATCATTCTGAAACTAGGCAAGTAAGGTGGCACCAAGTGGGAAGCAGTTGAGTCAAACACCCAGAGACCGGGCAGAGGGTTAGACAGATGAGCAAGTGCTTCACTTAACCCACTAGTTGGCTCCGGGCTTTCTTCCCACACTAAAGGATAAGACGGATCGAGGCAGCGCCTTACCTTCTTCAATGGTTACATTCCCTCGGAAGAAATATTTCCCATGGCCTCTGGAGAGTGCCACACCTAAACTGTGCAGAGAAACAAAGCAGACCTTGAAATCCACAGCATCGACTGGAATAGACTTGTGGGCTAACTTTTTATTTTCCATTTTCACATTTCCATTTCACGTTCTGTAAACAATTTTTCCAACAGTTTACTTTCAGAACCCCACTGATTATAGTTGGTGTTGGTTTTTCTTAGGTTCAATCAGCTGCTTCAAAGGAATTTCTGATTGGAAATGCCAGCAGCAATTGGCTGCTCTCGTGTGCTTTTAAAGAGGTGTGGCAAACTGCTCACCCATCTAGCAAGTTCTTCTCTTGGACGCCCTCCCAAGGCCCTGTGCCCTGCTCTTCACTACCACCTTATGCACCCCTGCCCTACATTCAGCCACAGATGGGTCTTTCCAGACCCTACAGGTTGGGACTAGGGAAAATTAACCCCTTTTCAAGGGCAAACATGCAAACTTCCACTACTACTTGAGCATAGCCACATTATTGTGTTTTGAGCTTCTTTGCCCATTCCTCTCCTTAGTCTAATAGATTTTTCACACTCTCACTGGCTTGACTTAAGGTCCTTTCTGTTTTTGCCTAAAGTAAGAGAGTATGTTTTGAAAAGACAGTCTCTTTATTTGGCAAACCCACTTAGTGGTCATGTGTTCCCTCGATGGCTCTGGTTCCAAATGGAATCCACGCATGATCCCTGGCAGTATATGACAACAAGGCCACAATTTATTTTTCAGACTAATCTATAGCCAGTAAATTCTTTCTCTCCTTAGCTCTGCGAGGCACCTGTTCAGAAACATGAAGCAGCCCCACTGAAATAACATGTTACGAAAGGTGTTGTAACACTTGGTTAATGGTAGCAGGAGATTATTGAATACCACATATGCATCTGAAAGCAGGCAATGAGGCAAAGCCATTTTTCAGGACTATTACAAAGAGAAATAACAGATTCCAAGGTAGACAAGCACAGAAGGACAGTTCAGAGAAATTTAAATGGAAGCACAACATGTGGGGATGGATATGCCACCTCCAAGTTGGAAGGATTTTTTTTTGGTCATGGAAATAAAAGGTGAAATGGAACTCACTGGGTAGCAAGTTAGATGGTTAAGGACCCTGGTAACCCTCTGAACTCGCCTCTCCACCCTTAGTTGGAACCCCCCAAGCTTATTTGCTTGATAATGAGATGCAAAGCCATGACAAATTGAGTGAGTTCTCCAAGGTGAGCCTGAACCATCTTCCCCCTTCTGGAAAACAAAAACAAAAGCAGCCTGGGAAAAGCCCCTTCCTCACTCTTTCCAGCCTTTCGGCAGGGTGTTTGGGTATCTTCAGATGATGAGCTCTGAGAGCGTCAGCAGGTTTTGTACAAACACAACTGATGGGTCTGATGGAATGTCCATGTATTATGGTCAGCTCTACCTGAAAGGAGTACCCTTGATGTCTGTATAATAGTAGTCATTTGTCATCACCAAAACCCGTTTCTAGATTGAAAAAAAGTCATAGAGAAAAGAAAACATGGTTAGTCTGCTAGGTGAAGTTTTCAGAAATAAATAAAAATAAATGGACACACTATGATCAGGTTAACAGTACTACATGAATCTTGTTTGAGATAAGTAAAGACAAGAGAAAAATGATCTCAGCGAAAGATATTTATTCCAGATAGAGCTTTCAAAGCTAATTTTTCACAGTGGTTTGTTTTAAATTAAGCAGCAAGAATGTTTGAGAAAAATGTACCCCTTTGTCCACTGTCTTCTTCACCTCCATGGAAAACTTCCCAGTCTTTCGATTCACCATGGCATTTCTCAACTAAAACGATAAAAGGAAATTGGCATTAGTTCTTCTCTGGGTTACCATGTTGTCTGGATGGCTTGCATCCTCCAGCTTGGGAACATATTTGATGGCTTGTGCAAAGCAGAGGTATGACAGGGCTGAGCTGTTTTCCCACCGAATCTGAGGCACTTTTGCAGTGTCTGCATATTGCTTTCAGACCTCTAGAACAGACTTCTGAAGAATAAACATCCAACTGCTGTTGTACAAGAGGAGAGAGGCAAACAACAATAAATAAATGATTTTCAACTTCAATTTGGGGTGCTTGTATAAGCCTCAGGGCGACAATGACAGAAAAGCCTGTGCAATGTTGATGAATCCTGAGAGTCAGCGTACAAACCCTCAGCAACCCGCTAAAACACTCAAAAAGCAAGAATGTCTCCCGGGACAAGTTACATTTTCAAAAAGGGTATTGGTATGTCATGGAGAAATCATTTTTCAAAACATAATCAAGTTAAAGACGTTTTCCTACATAGGAGTTTAAAAAAAAAGGTCAACCATTTGGAAGAAGGGGATCAGCTTTTCATAGCATGAATCATCTTCAAATGCTCTCCGAGAAATCTGGGCCAACTAATGGTCTCGCTGACGCTGACGGGCAGTAACCGGGCAACCTCATATCTGATTTTTGGAGGTCCTGTCTAGGAATTGTGAGCCTTGCTCCCTTCCCCCACCCCTGGCTGACCTCTCCTAATTACCTGTGGCCCTTCCATGAGTTCAGGGAAGGACAGCAGACACAGTGATGAAAGATGTGCTGTCGTGGGCACCAATGGGAGATGACGGGAAGGCCATTTAATAGAATAGGAACAAATGCTGACATGCCACAGCCTGTCTGTTGGGAAAGGCTCTTTCCCAGGCCCATGACTCGGTTTTTTTTTTTTTTTTTTCTTATCCTTTCCCCTCTTTTCTCCTTTGAGGAGCTTGAACAAGATCTGGGTGATAGAAAACTGCAACGCTTGCAAGCAACCTAAATTTGATTCGAGGCTGTCTAGATTTGGGTTCACATTCCCATCTTCTGTGAGAGAGAGTAAAAGCATAATTTTTAGCTGGAGGCATGTATAAAATAAAACATATATTTTACTCTAGATATTTTTTAACAACATATAATGGGCATTTCTGGAAATATTTTCCCATTTTAACTTTTGTGGTTTTGGATGGGGAGGGCTGGTCCTAATTAAGTCTACTTTCTAACTTTTAAGAACGGCTCAATTTATCTTTAACATGGTTTTCATTTTTCCTCTTTCTGGTGCCTGCCTAAAGCCATTTGGGACCTTCCCCTCTCACATTCCCCAGGCAAGTCAGAGATTAGGTAAGCCCCTCCATGCCTCCGTGCCACCCCACCCCCAACTCCCAGTAGCACAGAACAATCAGCATGGGGCCTGGGAGGGTCCAAGGCCAGGGTCACTGATGCTTTCTGGAGGCAAATGCTTAGATGATTAGTCTACTCTTTCCCTTTTCTTCAATAAGAATGAAAATAGCTTAGACCTATTGAACACCTACTTGTGAGTCAGGATAGCACGGTAGTTAAGAAGCGTCTCTAGCCACAGCTTTATGATTGTGGATAAATCACTTACCCTCTCTGTGCCTCAATTTCCTTTTCTGCAAAAGGGAACTAATGACAGTACTCATCTCATGGAACTGTAGTGAGAATTAAATGAGCTAATACTTAGACGAGTGCCTGGTGCACTCTAAGCATTCAGTCCATATAGCCGCCCTCCATCATCATCACCAGCATTATCATCTTCATTATCATCCTCCTCACTTCTCTTTAATGTCAGACTCCTTTCAATAGCTTAAGGAATCAGAATTCAAACTCGAGCTTGCTTGACACAGATGCCCAAGCTCTAAACCAATATTTTTCAAACTTTTTTGACTGTGAGCCACATGAGAAATACACCTGACGACGACCTCTGACAGCTCCTATTTTAACAGATTTCAGTGCTTTTAATGGCTGCTTGTGAACAATTAAATGGATTTTGTGATCTCCCTCCAACTCCCTGGGTTGAAAACTGCTGCTCTTAACCACCTCTGGGTTGGCACAGACTGAAAAAGAGGCAGCCCAAGGTCAAGAGAAGTGACCCAGGATATCAAGGTTCAAGTTTTACCAATGACACATACCACTGTCCTGTGACCTCTCTGTGGTTCAACTTCTTCGCTCCTTCCATCAAAAGTGTTTCTGAATGAGGACTCCCAGACCCCAGGGATCCTGTCACATGCTGTATAAACTGTCAATCAGATTCTTAGGGAGCTCAGATAGTACTGATAGATACTGTTTACTGAGCTCTTACTATATGTACTAGACACAGATTTTAAAACCCTCAAAATCATCCCATGAGGTAACATTACTATCCTTGTTTTACAGGAGGGGAAACTGAGGCACAAAGTTATGAAACTTACCTAAGGTCACATGGAGTCTCTGCCCCTAGAGCTCATGCTGTTAAGTCTCTTCCCAAATCAGAAGAGAAAACACGTGGACAAATTTAAAGCATTACTATAAAAATAATGTATTGTTATTTCTAGGTTTTTTGTTTAAATCAAAGAGGAAGTTTTAAACTTGACCATGCGACAGTCTGAGGTTTCAGCCCAGTGGGCTCTCCACAAGCTCTAGGTACTGTGCCTGGGACACACAGGAGGGTGGTCTTCTGTCCTCACTGCCAGAGGAGAGAAGGGGGTTTGGGGCTTTGTCAATAGATCGCTGGGTGAGAATACAGCCTGGTGAGGCCGGGGCAGTCTAGAAATGTCACTTTTCCATCTGAGGAGACTGAGGTTTGAGAAGGGGAGCAATTCGCCCCAAATCCTGTGGTAAGTCAGCTGGCAGAGGTGCTGAGAGCAGAGACGAGAGTGGTGGGGAGTAACAACGCTCTCAGTCCGACCCGGGTGGGGAGGGCGTGATTGTGCTGCTCCGAGCTGAATATTCCTTGAACCTGCCACTGCCTGGATTACAGCAATGAGCAACTGGAGAAATGGAAATGGCCTCGCAGAGGAAAATTTCCAGGCAAGTTTTGGTGTGTCCATAAGTTAGAATACCATGTAGTCATTAAAAGCATCACATGTGCAGATATTCAACTTAACACAGTCAAAGAAAGGCAAATTAAAACCTCAGTGGGGCCAGCCGATGGCACAGCGGTTAAGTTTGCACGTTCCGCTTCTCAGCAGCCAGAGGTTCACCAGTTCAGATGCCCTGTACGGACATGGCACCGCTTGGCATGCCATGCTGTGGTAGGTGTCCCACATATAAAGTAGAGGAAGATGGGCACGGATGTTAGCTCAGGGCCAGTCTTCCTCAGCAAAAAGAGGAGGATTGGTGGCAGATGTTAGCTCAGGGCTAATCTTCCTCAAAAAAAAAAAAAATCTCAGTGTATACCTTTACTTTTTCTTATGAGATGTCAAAAATCAGCAAATGGGATAATGCAGTGGATAGTAAAGCAGCTTTCACCACAGCATAGTTGGTATAGTTAAGGTCAAATCTCTTCAAGTGGAAAGTAGTCTTCTGGTGACGGTGATCCGGCTCCTTGCTTTCTGGGAGCCGTGCTCCTCCCCCCGGGCCTTACTTGATCCAGGCGCTTGCCCAGAGCCCTCAGTGAATCTGTCCCTCTCCTCTGTGCCCTGAAGCTGAGGCAGCTTTGCTACCCGTTCAAAGCACCCACTTTATCGACAACCATGTGATAGCTGGTGGTCATGCTTCCAGCTCCATGGTGAGCCTGCAGCTCTTCCTCCTGTGTTAGAGCTCACTAGGGGAGCGTTCCCCAGAGATTCATTGATCACCTAAAGTTTCGTGTATAATTATATAATGACAGCTCGTTCTCCTGATGATGGTTCTGCATCCGCATCAGAACGTGAACCTCGCCTGGAAGTGCAGGCAGTATGCCTTCCAGGCCCCTAACGGCAGGCAATCCTAGCTGAGGCAAGAGCTTAAAGGGGAAGGGAGAAGCAGTGGTTAAAAGGTCTGTCATTCCCAAGCAAGCATTCAACCAGAATCTGAAAACAGACTCAGACACAGAGCACCTAGATGACAAAGTCCTCTCTCTCTCGCTGCTTTGGTCTGGGCTTTCCGGTAGGCTGTGCTTAGTCTGGGGACCCAGGGCTCCAGCATGAGCTGTAGAGACACTGAAGCAGGTATAAGGAAGAACAAACTAAATGGCCAAAAGTCTCAGAAAGATGCCCCAGGAGAAGAGGTTGATAGGGTTTTGGAAAGAAAAGACTCAAAATTTTTACCAGTCTTTCCAGGAAAGTAAGAGGAAACGTGAGTTGATGACAGGGCAGTGGAAAAGGGGCTCACACTGCAGCAGAAGGGGCTTCAGCGGGACTCGAGGCAGCATCGGATGGGCCAGTATTCGCAACAACACCCCATGGCAAGCATTTGTTTAGCAGCTGTGTGCAAGGCCTTCCCCATCTTTTCTGCACCCCTCAGGGGAAGATAACACACATAGGGTGGGGCACTGACAAAGTCTTCCGTGGCTCTTTCTATGGCAAATCAAAGTGGTTAAGAGCTCTGGGGCCAGACTGCCTGGGTTGGAATCTACACTGTGTGCCTGTGGACCATTACAGCAATTCTCTGCCTCAATTTCCTCACCTGTAAAATGAGAATAGAAATAACACCTACTTTGTAGGATTGTTGTGATGAATAAACAAGTTGGTTCATATATAGCACTTAAAACAGCGCTGGCATATAGGAGGGGTCAATATATGGTACTTATTATTATTTATATTAGTTTTTTTCTGTTTATAGAAATGATCATGTTCAGGGTGGAGAGTTTGAGAATGACTAAAAGATAATAGGAATAACAGGAAAATCATCCTTAATTCCTTCAGCCATCTCTGAGAATTTATTACCAAAGGATAAACACCATTTTTAAAGATATTTTTTCATTCCCAGAGGTGATCAACACCAGTAATTCAGACGGGGCTACGCATGTCTCAGGGTCCCCTCCTATCTCACGGGCCCCCCAAAGTTCTGTCCTACTCATTGTATTGTTGAAGTGATGACTAAGTCACCCTGGAGCCTGGGCCAGAAGTCCCACTCATCCTCCTCTAAGTGGTTTTAAATTTTTCTTTCTTTTTTAAATTTAAATTTTATACACTCTATTTTGCATGTGTTTTAATAGTATATATGACCTCACATCCTTTTTGGAAGTACACAGTGTCTATGTGATAAATGTGGTCATTAAATTCAACAAGAGCCTGGTTGTCTAGAGAAGCGGGATGCTCCTTCTAAGAAGTTCTCTGTGGCTGGGAAGACTCATGCTGCTTCTTTCTCAGTGGGCTCTGCTTGTATGGTTTTTCCCAGATCTTGACCTAAAGTCTGCCCTCTGCTACTTACATGCAAACCCCAATGGTGGACCTAGGGGCATGTGGGATCTTATGTAGACTTCACAAAGATGGAATTATGGATTCCAGAATTCTCCAATCACTGGAGTGCAAATTCCTAGGAGAGAAATGGTGGCTTGGGTTTTCCCAGTCAAACACATGGGTAGTGAAGGAATTCACGTTTCAAGGGTACCATCCTCCCAAGGAGACAAGAGACTCAAACCAAAGAGACAAGCAGAAACCAATTTGTGCAGAGTAAGAGCATTGAATTTGCTGAAGATATGGGAACCCTAAAGGTGGACACTCAGAACCCAGACCTGTGAGTCAGATGGTGAAGATCCTGCGCACAAGGCTGGGAATCTGACGCTCTGCAGCTCCGATGAGAAAGAAACATAGGGCAAGGAAACAAAAACGGTTTTCCAAACCATTACTAGTAAAAGGACATATCAGCTCACTGAAAATTAACTGGGACACAGGTGATGACTAGAGTGAGCTGAGTAATAAATCTCTTCAAGTAACATGCAACGGAGCAGTGTCAGCTTAGCTTTAGCTGGCAGAAGGCATGCTTCCTGGATGTGGGGACTCTGAAGTAGGAATGAGCATAAACTAGTTTGCCTTCCATGTTAATGAAAGTGGAAAAGATGAAGGGATAGAGAAGCACATGGACGACAAGGTTCAAGCCTTCTAGGAAAGAGGACAAAAAGGTGCAGTGAAGTCAAAGTAAAGCAACTGATAAAGTGAAGAGAAAAGAAAACAATGGATTGCACCCTTCAAAGATTCATGAGACAATTTAGCAACTGTAAGTCTACGGGACATTCATCATGAGAAGGTCACCTGAAGAGTGACGATGATGAGAATAGTACTAAACAGAGCTACCACTCATAGAGTGCTGGTGGCTGTGTCCATACAACGATGTAGGCATTTTTATATCTTTCAATATATTAACATCTTTAATATCCACAACAGCTCTATGAGGTGGTAGGTACTATTACCATCATACTCATACTGGGAAAAAACGAAAACCAAAATTGAGGTGCAGAGAGGATAAATGCTTGTCTGAGACCAACCGCCTGCCAACAGCAGAGGTAGGATTCGAACCCAAGCCCCTCACAACTGAGCTAACCTGCTTCATGGAATGAGCAGGTTGAGAAGGCAGCACGTAAACATTAGGTGCAGTACGATCAAAAGAACCTGACATGAATCCTGATGACAATGTTTAAAGAACAAAAAGCTATAAACCTCTACCAGGTCACTGACCTGACACGACGTTGAGCCACTGGCACCTGGGGAAAGAGTGTAGATGAGGAAGGAGCCTTTTATCAACCAGCAAAGCTATTTTGTCTGAAGTTGGGTTTAAAAAGACTTAGCACAGATGAAGAAGAAAACAGGTTAAATTTCTAAAACAGATATGACTTTTGCATTTTATAGGTAAGGAAGAAAATCAGAGATTGATGCTAGCTGAGACGTCCAAGGAGCAGAGGATGTGAAGACAGCAAAAGGAGCTGCGATGCTGGCCACACTTCCGGAAGGTACGAGAACCCAGCCAGGGGATTTCAAATGGTTCCCCTCAACACCCCTTTGGAAAGCTGGACAGAGTGATGGACGGAAACAATGCTGACTCAAGAATGAAACTTAAGAAAGAGCCCCGGACAAATCAGGGCGGGTGCGGGCAGAGGAACGTGGCTTTGGCACGGAGACACCATAGAGAAAGCAAGGCATAAGGATCCAGGCAGGAACACCTGGGAAGTTACGATTTAATTAAGGACAGTCGGCCTGGATTCACACAAAGGCAGCCGTGTCTAACAAATCTGATTTATTGAGGAAGTAACAAGAAGACTGACGGGGTTAAGTCGAGGGCATAAGGAAAGCTTTTGATACAGTACCGAAGGCTGAATCTGTGTGGGAAAGCAGCATGTGTGCTGTTGCAGTGTGGCCAGTGAATGAGGAAAGGCTGGGACTGCAACCACCAGGAGGAAAGTAGACCTGCAAAGCTCTGGGCTGCTCTCTGAAAAGAGCTGTGCCCATGATGTCCTAACAGGTGAATTCTGGCCCTGACTTTGCAGCAGACGGAGCTGCCTGGCCAGACTCCCCTGAGATTGGCAGGTCCCATCAATTGAGGAGAAGTCTGGATTAATGTGCTCCAGAAGGGACCAGAGCCCAGCAGGGGATGGTTTTAGCAGACTGCGCAAAGCAGGCAGGGTGGCTGGCCTGTCTGCAACTCGTGCGACCAGCGGGAGAGTTATAAAACTGCAAACTCGGTAAAAGGGCCCATTGTCTCCACGTCTCTCTGGTGGCCAGGTGGGCCTCTTGGCCGGCTCCTGGGGCAGCCTCCCAGTACAGAAGTGGGTACAATGGAGCTCCTTCCTCACCAGGCTTGAAAACAAATCACTTACCACGTCATCTCGGTCTTCCCACTCCACCTCAGAGAGGTCAACGCTGCTATAGTTGGGTTTCCTTCGCTTTTTTCCTTCTTCGTACTAGCAGGGGGAAGAGAAACAGAAAGAAAAGATTTCCATGAGAACATCAGCCAGGGCAACTTTTCTCCTTTCAAGTCCTGTTTCGAGGAGGAGGGCTGTGGGTGGAGGGGTATCAGTGAGAAGCCCAGCAGGTGGCAGTCCCAGGGGTTTTAAAGGCAGGAAAGCAGAGGCCAGATGCCTATAAACATTTGCTCTGAGCTGGGGCAATACACAAGTCAACTTTTGCTTGATATGAATTTACCTAGCGGACTCCCTGCCTCTCAACATGCCAGATGCAAAGCAAAGTTTTCCCCTCCTTGGATGGTATGTGTGTGAGATAGGGGAGGCCCTTCTCCACTCCAAAGCTTTTAAAACCCCCTTCATGACACAGGAAAGGGCGTCTTACATACGTTTACCAAAAATCTAGTCATATTGCAGACACACAGAACCTTTTACTTGCTGTCGCACTGGCCACAGCGGTACTGAGCTATGCATGGCCACTTTACCCAGAGTAGATGTGGGTATTGGGAATCACTGCCAGATTTAATGGCCATTAGGGCATTTCTCTGGGAAAGCTGATGAGTGCATTAATAAGTGGGGAAGTGGTTTTTGTTTCTTCCCCCTAAATCACTGGTGTTAGTCACCCTGCAAGCCTACCATTTTATCCACCAGACGTTCCTGTGTCTCAGGCCCCTTACTCTTGGTTGTAGGGGTGTTTATAATGTAGGAAAGTCTGCCCTCTACTGCAGGCTAAGGATAAGCAACCCCCTCACAAGTTCAGAAGATATGGCTAATGGTATATTGGAAAAAATATCTGTGTATGTAGAGTTGTTTTATTTTTTACTTTGGTCTCTAAATTGGTCATCTTTTGATTTAATTGGTAAGATTCTAAGTAAGATGCAGCGTCACTCTAAGTGTTTTAAGACCCCAAAACCACAGGTTACCATTTTGGACACTGCTTGGCTACTTTGGAGACAGGTGCTAGAGGAACACCAGGCATAAAGGAGAAAATCAGTGTTGATATACTGAACCAAGCAAGTCTGAACTGGCCCCCAGTGGAATCCACGGGAGAGAGCCCAGCCAGCAGGTCCTGTGGGGCCAAACAGGGCCAGGTGGTTTTCCTCCCCGTCAGCTGCATTTCAGGAATCTTGAGGCATTTCTGGAGAGCGCCCACCCCCACCACCCAGGAAGGCCGCCTCTCCTCCAAGGGACAGTGGACTCTGACCACCCTGGTCAACCGTGTTTCCACTCCCTCCTCTCAGGTTTCCAATTAACAGACATTCACGGTCAGTTTTACGACATCAGATCCACTCCAGATGAAGAGGAAGGGAAGTGGTTCCCTCAGAAGCCGCTGTAAACGATAGCAGATTCGCAGTTGGATACTGTTATGGAAAGTTCCGTGTGTACAGGGAAGCTCTGGCCCTCACAAGAGCCAGGCTGGGGGTGCTGAGCCGGAGGAACAGGAACGAGGTCAGCAGGGTTGTCACCCTCAACTCTCACTGTGAGGAGGGCGTGATGGGGGAGAGGGCATACAATGCTAAGACTCAAGACTGTCCCCCTGAGGAGCTGGAGTCAGACGTTCTTGGACTTCGGTTCCCTACGCTAATAGCCCCCAAGTCCCATTTTAGTAAGAACCATCACTGAGAGCCACTAGGCCCCCAGAAGTTCAAGCAGCCCAGCTTCTGACCATTAAAGGCAGAACTTTCACAACTTCCTGGGTAGCCTAGGTCTAACGTGTCTTTTTGGGGAAAGTTCTTCCTTTGGTCACTTCAGAATGCTCCTTTATTCACATATTCAACATACATTTATTGAACATCTAGTAAGGACAAGGTACTAAGGATATAAATAAAGTCAATTCAACAGCACTTCATTCTTTCCCAAGGGCTTGCTTGCAGTTTATCACCGTCAATTCTGCCTCTCTTAGGTCAATTTATTGCCCATCCCGCATATGGGAAAATAGGTTCTAACAAGTTAAATAAGACCGTAGAGCCAGTATGGGGGAGGTCACCCCACCTACCACGAGCCCCAGACCAAACTTTCATGTAAGCCTCGTGTTATTTCAACCACTGCTAATGAAATTTAAAAAGACCCCCAAGGTCCAGAGCCCCAAATGTTGCTTCATCCTCAGAAAATGTGTCCACTTGTCCTTGTTAGAAGAGGAGAGCACAGTGGTCCTGCCACTTACTGGGCATGTGACTCTGAGCAAGGTACCCAGCTGCTCCAAGCTTCCTTTTTTTCATTTTCAAAATGGAAAAAACAACAGTACCTCCATAGCAGAAGTAGGTTGAGAGGATTAAATAGATAATATATATAAAATGGCAAACACATTCCCAGCCATGGAATAAACCTTTAATATGTAGCTAGCATGATTCCTGAGAGCCGTGACCTTCTTGGCAAAGACACAGGCTCACTGTATACAGTTGGCTACTATCCCATTTCCATGAAATGAAGGAGATCCATTCAATAATTTTGGCTGGTCACCATTCTGCAAACCATAGGTAGGCAGGAGATGTTTGTTAAAGATGATGGTGTCAGACAGTCATATTCATATGCCTCCTCCTGATGTGTATCTTACACACCAAAAGTTGTATACTAAATACCAAGGTGGGACTTACGACTCTTCTGGCAGAAAAATGTACGCTTATGCTAAAGAGCCCAAGTCCTTCTAGACAGTATCTGGCAAAAGTGGAATCTACAGCGAACCCTTGACTTCTAACCATTCCTAGATGCCTTTCTTCATTTTTTTTTTATAACCACTCAAGAAGTTCCATACATTGCACTAATAGTATTCAAAAAACTTGGAGAGATTAGAGAGAGAGAGGAAGAAAGACTTCCCAGCATACTGGTCCATACGCCACCATATTCCAGCAAGTCTCTGTAATTTAATTTCATTGAAAGAAACAGATGGGGCTGGGGATAGTCCCCATGGAAATCCATTTTAGGAATGCCTGCCCACAAGGTCTGCTTAACCAGGTATGTGAAATAGGTCTGAAACACTTTCCATTTGGGTCTTTATTAATGAGTGAGCTCCTTTAGGACATAAACAGTGATGTCGCAGAGTGATTGTTTTGAGTGAGAAAAGGAAAAGTCGGTGGGCTGTAATGTAGTAGAGCAGGTCGGGAGCCATGAGTAAATTCCAGCGTAATAACCCTAAATCCACCTTTATCTTTTTTCCCATTAAGAAAGCATATTAGAAGCCTGGAGAATAGACCTCCATTGGAAGACACCAGTGCTGTGAACTGCCGCCATCCATCCCCCATATTTTGCAGAGTAATCACCTTGGTTTTCCTATAGGAACCCCTTGGATCCCACCTGGAGTAAATATAGTTCTAGTGAAGGCAAGACCATCCTGGTTCAGAGGTAGGCAAGTGATCTGAGCGTGTGAGGGAGAGCCACATCTCTCGAGGACACAGACACTGGTTCAGGGCTGGGGACATAACTCATGCCAACCCAAATGAGACTCAATTTGTGACGTTTTCCTGGATCTATCCAGAAAAAGGAGCTCTCCATCTATTAGTATCACTAAGGTGGTAGGATGTGCACTTGAGCTCCTCACAGCCATGTCTGTCATTACTTGGAGAAAGCCCTCCTTTGAATGAAGCCAGTACAGAGAAAGCAAAGACACGAAGAGAGCCTTGAAAACATCATGTGCATGCCTGGATCAAGCTGTGCCTGAAAACCTTTATACCCTACCAACACATTCTCTCCCTATTACCCCCTTACCCTTTTTTCAGATATTTTTAAAAGCCGGCTTGGGTTTCAAGCATAAGTAGTCAGAGTTCCGACTTGGATAAATTGAGTGTCTTTATTTTTTTTTTCTTTTTAAATGAACCACTTTTAAAATACATTTTAAGTGGAGTGTTCACAAACTTTGATACTTTAATGATTATTTAGGAACATGTGATTTGCAGAATACCTCACTGCTAATCAGGACAGACACTATATTTGAGAGTGGCTGCTCCCCTGTACCTGCTTTCCCCCTGAGAAGACATATGTGTGGCCACAGCATAAGACAGTGACGGAAAAAGAACCAAACTCTCGGATCTCTGACTCCCAGGCCAGATCTCCCCTCTGCCCGGTGGGATTTGGCCTGGGCTGAATCCCAGGTCCACCGGCCCCACTCCTTCTTTGCCTGCGTGAGGATCTCGTTCCTGGGGCTGAGGCATCGGATATGGCATTTGTTAGTGTATCTATAAACTGTAACTTCCTTTGAAAATGTGATTAACGAATTGCAAACGGTTTCCAAAGGTTTATAAACAGATACTTTCAGAGCCACGGGTAGGTTTGTAGTTTTTGGTGCCTGTTTTATGAAAAAAATATGTGGGGGAGAATTTAATAAGGAAAGATATTCTGTGCTATGAAATACTTTGAGGTGGAGTTTCAAATAAAGGCCAGATGTGGTGAACACACAAACCAGCCTGTGGCCTAGGAGGATGGGACAAGGAGGGCACCCATCTGAGGAGCCAGAATCTCCCCGGCGTGTTTAACCGTCTAGGTGTGAGTGCCCTTCTGCATTCCTGCAGACTGACTTCAGAAGCACAGTGCGATGAGCTAAGGTGATGGCCCCATTCGTGTTGGTTTGAAAAAAACAAAAAAAGCCTTTGCTTTTTCTGTGTTCATTTGGGAAGGGCCAGAGGAAATCAACTACACACATCCATGCAGCCTCAGTGAAACAAATATCGTGTATGCTAATAATTGATAAACTGTACGTGCTGCTCCATGCTGCCAACAGGAAGGAAGGAGACGGGGGAGAAGGACCAGAGTTGAAGAGGAAGAAACCTTGCCCAAAGCTAATGCCATCTGGAGAAGGGGTGTGGCCAAGTGCTGGGAGCCAGCCATTGTCTGTGCAGATGTTTCTCTGCCGAGGCAGCCACGGTCCTCAGCTGGTGAACACCTTTGCCACCTCCTCTGAGGCCCTGAGTCTCCTCTTGTCTCAGACGCTGCAGTTGCCGTTTCAGGAGAAGGAAAGAAGGCATATCTTCTCTCCTCCATGTGCAAGAGGGTAGGGCCTAATGGCCACC